GCTGCTCCCGTCTTCCATCCTTCTTATAACAGGGTACGCAGCTCTAGATGCACAAGATGCTGGGACTTCGCCTTATCCAGAATTTCCCCCGTGTAGGGAATGTGGGTGAGTTTAGTAATGTCGAAGTATTTCAGTTGTATCACGGTGCGTCAAAGTGCTGTCGGAAGAAACACCGAAGTCATATAGGCCTTACATGTTTATCACAGCGAGATTGGAATGGGGCTTACAGGTTGGAATTCGAACACATAATCATAGGATTCTGTTATGCCAAGGGAACGACTAAGCCACCACCGTTCTAAGAGAGTGAGTGAGTGAGTTTGGTTTTACGCCGCTTTTAGCAATATTCCAGCAACATCAGGGCGGGGGACACCAGAAATGGGCTTCACGCACTGTACCCATGTGGGGAATCGAACCCGCGTCATCGGCGTGACGAGCCAACGCTTTACCCACAAGGCTACCCCGCCGCCCCATATATGGTACAATATCCAGATGTTCGTACGATGAAATTCCAAAATCACTTTCTCACTGTGCCCACGAAGATCCGGATCTTCAGCAACTCATGCTTCATCAGAAGCGAATTATGGCATAGGCTCCCTGACGTGGTTGATGCATAGCATCGTATCCCAGATTGATCCCAGATCGATGCTCATGATGTCAATCACTGGATTGTCAGGTCCAGACGCGATTATTTACAAATCGCATCATTGCTGAGAGCAGCGTCAAAGAACAAACAAATTACCCACTGCGTCTTACATTTACGTACTCTTTGTTGTATTTGCTAGAAAGTGTTTTTATCAATGTTTGAACAATGCTTCAGTATCTTACATGTTTTCTCTCTTTTTCCCCTATTCCCCATGGCAAGTGATGGATAAAGCACTGGATACATCAAACTCCAACCATTTTTTAGATTTTTTTTCGGATAACGATTCTCATCTGTCGCCGACACCACCACACTGTGAATCAATACTGATGTTTCCTTAGAGATGCTGGCGCTTCGTGAAAACTTGGAAACAGACCAGCTGTAACTGACTCACTGGTTTCACAGCGGATTCGTAAAAAGACGATACATACCGAGGGTCTAGTAGATTTCAAATACTTGTTAATTTCAACATTGTAGCGAATGATATATACAGTATGTAAGCATAAACAGACATCGAATCCCAGATGGCGCTGCAAGGGCAACCATGATTTGTGAGTGAGTTTAACGTATATCAGTTACGTTATTACAACATGATTGTCCAATCAGATTGCTAGATTTTTTTAACGAGTAATACATGTACGAGCCACAGACCCGTAAAGATCCCCGTTGAAATTGGTCTTCAGCAACCTATGGAGACTAACAGGGTCGGGTGGTCAGGCTGTCTGACTTTGTTTGGCATTGTCATCTTATCCCAATAGCGCAGATCGCTGCTCATGCTGTTGATCACTGGATTGTGTGGTCCAGACCGATTATTGACAGACCACCGCCACATAGCTGGAATATTCCTGAGTGCGGTGTTAAACAACAAACAAACTGGTGATCTTTAAGTCATTATAGATTATCTGTCCTGAGCAAATGGATAGTTCTAATCTCGAAACGCTGACGAGTGACGGAAAGAATTCTTTCACAAGGAAAAGATAAGTCTGTAATTTCGAATATCTCAGAGGTAATTCTATACATCGCTCACCCAAATTTTCAGAACGAAAATGAACAAAAAACCCGCAAAGGAAGTGTTTATTAATGTAGTAGAACCTGAACACAAGCCCCATTCATTTGATATGATATACACGATAACCCACAATGTCACCCTTTATACTTAATATTGACAGAAACTGTCAAGCATCCCTCTCTCGAAGATTAAAATTAACGCGTCCCTCCTGTCTTCCTTGTCCCCTATTATATAATTCCATCCCCCAAACCAAAATCCTACATCCGCCTTTCCCCTTTAGTATCCATTCGTCCTTTGTAACACGTACTTTCAAATCAAAGCTTAATTCAAATAAATCACTACACTTCCATCATGGCGACAAACCTATTAAAATGCGCAACGTTGAACCTAAAATGACACACGCCGGAAGACAGCCTTTCTGCTGGTGAAATGCACCGTTATGGAAGAGGTGACCCCTGTCTTTCTCATGGCGAGAGACTCATGATCAAGCTCACGATAACCTCTCATTGTGGTCCGGGAACGCATCACTTCACTTGGACAGTTAATTTGGTCCGTGTCGTGGTGTAGTAACTGAGAAAAAATATGCCGTTCACTCACACCGGAAATTGGAAATTGCCGTAAATGAGTCTGGATGTCGTTAAATCTGTGAAGTGTCAACAATCGGAAACGAATTTCGATGAAGTTGAAGCCGTGCGGCTCTATATTCTATTATTGTTCAGCGAGACGGTAAAGCAAAGATTGATGGACACTCAACAACTAATAACCCGGTGGTTGGGTCCATGCTGGCAGACAAATGTCATTTCACAGACTGTCGAGGAGAAAAACACACCCTCAACTTCTGTGTCATCGCAGTTGTCTCCCTTTCGCAAAATCTATTTCTTCGATAAACTTGAAGACGTAAGCGTTTTTATTATTGTTTCTGAATGATGACTGAAGGAGAATTTCTCAAAGCCTGGTTTGTTGTTGTGGAAAATTTGTGTGTTTTTTCAGATGTTTAAGGCTGAACACGGCGATATTCCTTTCTGTGACGGTAAAGAATTGAGCCTGGACCCAATCCAGTGCTTGACGGTTGAGTAGCCAAGAGGTTAAAGCGTTCGCTCGTCATGCCGAAGACCCGGGTTTCTTTCCCGCACATGGGTACAAAGTCCATTTACTGCTGGAATATTGGAATATTGCTACATGTGGCGTAAAAATAAACTCACTTGACGTCTTGAGCATCAGTCTACCCAAATAGGATACGAAGACGTCCATCTATTAATCGGAACAACTGACCCCTTTAGATCCCTCTTCAACATTGGTGCCGTTGTACAAACCGATCTTAGGGCTAAGGTGTTCGAATCTCCCATACCTTATCACAGACTAGCGACATTCGTATCGCTCATGTTGCTCTGTGCAACGGCACTCAGTTCCTATTCGGGCCCCCACAGATACGTTCTACCGAAAGCCTATTTCAGCTATTTTTCTTAGAGGTTAAAAATAGGAACATAAGTGATCGTGTGACGTCATGATGTATTGTGACGTCACAAAATATGAAGTCAACATTGATTTCGATTTTCATTGACTCTCATATTTTCAGCCATAATATGAATAACAATATCACCATGGTAACTAGTGATATAGTTTGAGTTTCTGTCTGAAGCAGAATGGGAGCTAAATAATTAAAGCCAAGGTTTCGACTCTACTTTTGGGTACACTGCGTGAAGCCCATACCGGGTGTCCTCTGTGATATTGCAGGATCCGGTAGCGACCTGGGATAGAATGTGCCCCCGGACCTCAGTGTTCGTCGGACCCCGGGTTAGAATTAGTCGGGTGGTCGTTCTCCAACGGCTGACATTTAATAGAAATCGCTCGGTTACTTAAAGGGCCGTCATATAAGTAGATCGCGTGGCCTTAAAGAACCAACACATGCACATTTCGAAAAGCAGCTGGCAGATAAGATAAAAAGGTTAAACGCCCATTCAGATGATTTTGCGAAAACTGTTTTTTTGCTGTATAACGCAACATTATTCCAGCCATATGGTGGCGGTGTGTAGATAATCGAGTCTGGACCATACAATCCAGTGATCAGCAGCATGAGCATCGATCTACGCAACTGGGATACGATGACATGTGTGAACCAAGTCAGCGTTAGTCGCCTCTAATGACAAGCATGGGTTGCTGAAGACCAATTCTAACCCGGATCTTCACGGGTAGATGCAAAAACAGCTAGGCAAACTAAACATCGGTTTCAACATGTTTATTTATACAAATTTGCTATCATTTAATCAACAATATGTCACGGCCTTGACCTCGTGACCTTAGAAACAGGAAGAGCGTTAACATCAGCAGTAGTAGAAGGATTAATGGGAAGTACGAATGTATGGAGGGATGTCGGGGACAAACAGTCGCCATTTGCACATTGGATTACGATCTATATGCTATAATGCACAATTAATCATAGAACACCAACTGAGTATGGGCCAATGTCTACTAACAAGACACATGCTGTGGAAATACATTTTGCGAGCAGTGTCAGAAACCCCTTTCTCATATCAACAATAATCTGAGAACAATTGTCACATTGTAGGAGAAATTCTTGGATATTTGCTTCTTAAATAATGAGAAGGGCCCACGATGATAAACTAAAACACATTGTTACAGCGAAGTATTCCTGGCTCATCTACTGATTGGGCTATCCAACCTTTAAGAAACGCTTCTCATCATCGTCCAGTCACATTACATTATGTGGACGTTTGTGTCAATAAAAATGAATATTATTGGTTTTGCCAGGTAATGAATCCGGTTTCAGCATAATGTCAAGGTATGCCATATTGCCCGGGTTTTAACGGAAGAGTTGTCGTTCGTTGCGAAAGCTATATCGTCATGGTTACTGATGGGTTATAGCACATTTCTTCCGGGTTGAGATGAGAAACATTTCGTTTTGACCAAATGATAAATTGAGAACATTTATCAAATAATACGACCAAAAGCGGTTTCCGTGTGATTAATCGTCGTTGTCACGAATATTCTCACTTCAAACCTGGCTAAACTTAAACCCCAATCTGTCAGCCGTTCTGGTGCAACCGCTACAAAAAAGCTTCCAGCATAACGCAATATATTCACCGACTTGTTCATCTATAAATGTAATAGTTCTGATTAATGAAGTTACGTTACTGTAATTAATTATAATACCTAACATATATAACTATTTAAAATATCCCATCACCTAAAAAAGATTTGGTTTCTTTCATGTGGTGTTTTTGTTGTTGTTTGCAAGCCACAGTCAACAATATTCAGCAAAATGGCGGCCTGTAAATATATTATATTTTTTATCACTTTATTTTTTTTTGCCTGTAATATTTTGATCTGGAGGAGGCAAAGCAGCCTAAAAAGTCAACGTTGCCACTGGGCCTGACCACCCAATCCATTTAGTAGCTTATAACCTAAACTGGTTGTGAAAGACGTGAATCGTTGTTCATAGTATCAATCACTGGATTGTCTGACACAAACTCCATTTTTATCTACAGGTCATATCATTCAAATGGAATATTGTTGGATGTGGCGTTAAATAACAGCGAAACAGACAACCTACCCTCGTCACTAACAAGCCTGGCATGAACAGCCTCATATATACATACAACTGTGAAACTCTGGTAACTCGAACTTTGGTATCTCGAATTACCCTTGAAGGCGATGTAACCGATCTTTGATCCACGTTCAGATCTTTTCGTCAATGTGCCTTTTATCGGAACCCTAAAAGTTTCCAACAACTGATAACTCGACAAGTATTCGATTCCCCAGGAGTTCGAGTTAACAACGTTTCACTGTCTTTCGAGTATAGGTATATGGATCCATAAATATTAACTTACATATATTAATTATTTTTTTAATTTACGAACTTGCTACACATTGGACAAAGCATCTCTGTGGAGCGCATGTACTTGGCTTCAGCTTGGCGAGACACAAGCTCAGTCGACCGCATCCTCGGGAGTGAAGGGTATAATCCATTGCCCAACCCTTATGGCAAGAGTGCGTTGTTTAATGAAATGGGTGGAACTCTTACTGAAACAGAAGTAGGATATGATTAGAAGATGCATTCAAAGTGGTGTCAGTTTATAGGTTTGGACGTATACGTTTGATGTGACATATACTCATGCAGAGTGTGAATGGGTCATGTTATTTTGATGGAGCGATGAGTGAGTGAGTGAACGGTGTTATATTTCGGGCTGTTAACTTAATGTATTCCCCTAGGTGTCGAAGGATATAGACATCATAATAAGCGGATCCTGCCATGAAATGTACACAACTCAGTGGGATCCCCAAACCCCATCTCCCTCATAGCAGCATGAGTATAAAATGCAATCACCCCGATACCCAGTAGTGCTTGACCTTTTCTTGGCTACCTTTGTTCAATAAATCATTTTGTATTTATATTTCAGTATATTCATTTAATTGTTCATACAATATCAGTCAAATGTGACACCTCCTAATTTACGGTGTAGTAAAAATTACAATCATCCTTATATTTATTATTATTATTATTATTATTCCATCATATGTATATTTGTTTACTAACCTGGTGGTGTCTGACTTGGTCCCAGTTGTCAGCAAGGAGAACACACGCGGGATACCCCATTGTCAGAAATGCCACAAAACTGTCACGCACGTGATTGTTTGTTCCCATGGCCACTGACAACGTCGACAGCCCTATCCTCATCTTGAATGTATATCGTGTCATATCACATATCACAGTTTGAAAACCTCCATCCCCCAAAACGACCGTCCCGCACATCTATATTTACACCCACCCCACCCGTCAACAAACTGTTATTGCTTTTTCATACGCATCTCGGGAATATCACATGCCGGAGACCACTTCCGGTCGTCAGGAGAAAATGTCACTGGTTTTCATGTCTGTGAACTGAGATAGGAAAGGGCAAAACATCGAGAGAGCAGTTCCCATGATTCCCAGCATGTAGCTCCAGCCAATCAGACAATGGCCTGAGTCGTAAGCGGAAGCGGTGTCTCCACAGTAATGGCGGAAGTATGAGGACCCAAATCCGAGTGGAAATATCAACAGGCCAGCGATCATGATGAGGACTGAAACAAATGAAATAAATAACAATAATAAGTAAGTCAGAGGAATATCATATTATGTTGTCACTTAAATACAAACGGGATAATAGGTTAATGTGGTTGGAAAATGAGTAGTTGTCCGTGCCACGTGAAGACTGTCACTGAAGCACCTTAGCTGTCACGTCCTAATATATATAGGGTCGTCGTTCCGGATGTCGTTATACCCTCAGCTCTACGATTGTCACACATATAATGGTAAAAGCGTCATTGTAAAAGTACTAGGATTACGTGGAATGAAGCAAGGATCGTTGTATATTAGCAGCATTTTTATTTTTTGTGTTTCTCATCGCTCGACCGACCCTTCTAATTATATTGCTGATCCTCAAAAAACTTTCTTTTATTCCAACACTGCCTCGTCATATGAAATGTTTATCTTTTAATCAGTCGCCGCAACAAGTCCAAAGAACGCGAGAAATTCTAGTAAGAATTACAATAAATGAGAATGAAGAACATTATTCAGATAATTTTGTCTTTATTAAGTTTTGTTTTTTGTTGTTATTTCCCCCCGACCGACCGACCCATGTCAGAATTTGGTGGCTACGAGAAACACATTAAAAAATGATGCCCTATTGAAAACAAATGGGTGGATGTGCTCGTTGTTGGTCTGTCTTACCAGCGACTATAAAATGTTATTACATGTATATGATCCCTGGTCTCACAGTCCCTGGACCATATAAAGAATGAGTGTGAGTGAGTGCATGTTTGTGTGTGTGTGTGAATAATTCATTTAACATAGCTATGCAAAAAATATAGCATTATGCCAGATGCTTGATGTCCAAAATCTACTTAATATGATCAAAAGACAAATTATCCCCTTTTCCCTTTAAAATCCCCGTTTGTCTCGAAAAAATATCCGTCTCTAATAAAATCCTAGGCCGGGCCCCCACCACCCAGAAAGTTAAATGGTCATAAAAATTCACTAGCAACAGGATGACTCAACATTGCTGACACAGTATCAAAGACATCCAGACAATGACAGAGTTAAAGTAATCAACAGCTAAGTGATGCCATAATACCATCGTCGTAAATAGCATTTCATAATAGCCCACCGTGACACACAGTATCACCAGCATCCATGTTTCTATAGATACCGACGTAATGACATTGATGAAGCACTGGAGCTATTGTATTGACATACAAGGAATTGTCACTCAATAGGCTTGTATTACTTTTCCATTTGGGAGATTACATCGAGCGTTACTGAACCAGCCAACGTGATGCCATGATGGAGCCGTAATACCCCAGCCTGTTATTCACCAACAAAAACCCGTCCTGAGATTGAGGGGCTGTTGACTGAAGCTTTATTTACGAGGCTACGACACCAGTAATCCCATGGATAAGCTTCGAAAATTGCCTTGTAAGAAAAATAAATACAATTAGGCAGTTTGACAAGAAGCCATTACAAGGTACAGATGCGTTAGGGCTACACTTTGTCACGATCTTAACAAGCTTCCTGGAACTTTGATGTTCAGACCTGGGGCTATTGCTCCGAGGTGGCACTTTCACGGGTTCGGCAATGTCGTCAGAAAACTAATAGCTGACATCGGTGTCGTTTGACCTTTATTTGCATACAGACGAGAAATCACGAGATTTTGTCAAGCCCGCAGCCAATGAGGACAGCCCCGCGGCAAATGTGAGCACACCCGCGGCAAATTAACGAAGCCATGCGACCTAATTGGCGCGTGCAGCTCGCCATTATCACGCCGAGTGATTCTCATTACTGGACGAAGCTCCTATGGGTCTTTCATGTTAAGGTAGCCAACTGGATAATTCCTGACTTGGGCAATCGCCTTCAACACTCTAATTTGTTAGCTTTGTAAGCAAACATGTCACTTCGTTTTATCAGACAGTGGGAGAATACCTAACGCTAATAACGTCTAATCGGTGATTATCTCCCTTTGATCTCGCGATGGTTGCGAGAAAAAGCGGGAATTAGACTGTCTGATTCAGGTCGGCATCAGGACGAATGGAGACGATAATGAAATCAAAAGGTCAACTGCCAGTCAAAGTCTTGCATTAATGTACAACAACTTTGAGCACGTTCAACTGTATCCCCAAAACGTGGTTAGATGCACACACTCCTTCCATGTTTAGACTAATGGTTAATAAATCATACAAGACGGTACAGGATGATTGCGTGTAAATGTGTAGCCGATATTTTCAGGAATCGAGGGTGCGCGACTTTGAAGCAAAGCTTTAGTCAATAATGATAGCATTGTACTTCCATGACACTGTGCCCATTGGGAGTATTGCGTGTACGTGAGATTGGTCTCTAAAGGATTATACAGTAGGATTATTGGTGCCTGTCGTATGATATCTGTGCAGATGGACATTATTTATAGCTATCATCCAAGCTAGGTGTGTGTAGTGTCAGTAAATAATTGTGAGCCAAGTGATTGAACACAGATTGTGGACACAAATTTACAACCACAATGAAAACCTCTTGTGCTTTCGTTCGTAAAAAGTTTAAAGATAAATTGAGTGATTTTTCTAAACAGGGTCGTACGGCTCATCATTTTAAATTTCCGTGCGAAATGAGTTTACTCCGCTGTTTGATGGTGGAAATGAAACAAAGATGACTTGCCATTCGATGGTGATTCGATATTCGGATATTATAATAATTATTGCATTTTGGACTTAAAGTTTGCAGTGTTTCATCGACTTATACGAGTCTGGAAGACTAATATCTTTTCTCTGAAAAAAGAGTTTTTTTAATTATGCATATAAAACACAATAAAATGAGCCCAGAGACTTTCTTAATTTTCAGAAACTGAAACTGTGGTAATCTAGACTTGCCGCTCATTCTAGACTTGCTTGGGCTGCATTGGGTATATCTGTTTCAGGGTCTGTATGACGGAGCCCGGACGAATAACCATTGTCCACTGAGATACCATACCACAGTTTACCATAGATACTGATTCCTAGCCGACCAGTCCTTGGTTTAGTCACTTACTGTCGAACGCCAGGAAAGGAAACAAAAACTACCATATTTTTACGTACTTTGGTGTGACTAAGCACCGACCTTCTGCACCAATAGGGAGTCTAGGTAGGCAGTGCATGTGATGGTGACAGTTACCGAGGGTAGGAACCCATCTGACATACTTTATATCAATATCCAGTAAATATGCTCATGGGGTAATGAGTGAGTGAGTGAGTGAGTGAGTGAGTGAGTATGCTTTTACGCCGCTTTTAGCAATATTCCAGCAATATCATGGCGGGGGACACCAGAAATGGGCTTCACACATTGTACCCATGTGTGGAATCGAACCGCGGGTCCTTGGCGTGAGGAGCGAACGCTTTAACCACTAGGCTACGTTATACCCCGCCGCCCCAATGGTGTAATGAGATAAGAACTACAGTTAAGACGTATACAAGTCGATGCAACAATACTAGCTCTTAGACTAACGCTTAGTCTCTGAATATAAATAATTTAGACAGACACAAATAATTAGTTTTACAATGAAGTTTTACAATGAAGTTTTACAATGAAAAGGAGCCCTAGTGAAAAGAGAGATTTTGAGTGAGTTAAGATTTATAGTCACATCGGCAATCTTCATTTAGGGCGTTTGCATTACAGAAATGGCTCATCGTAAGGGAACATAATGCACGTCAGAGACAGACTCTTTTTCTCTCTCTAATATCCTGTCTCGTTGCCAAAACGTTTAAACTGACGTTTTCCTATGAGTGGGCGCTCACGAAAACAAACGTGGCTACAGATCTATTGGCACTACATTGAGGTGGTTTACCAGGGTCACTAAGGTCATTGTATTCATGCGCACTGTGAGGATTCCCAGTTACAATAACTCCCGGACAACGTGTGTTTGTTGTGGCGACTGACTGGGCCGGGGGGTCGATGACCCATTGTTTGCATCGCTGCTCGATCAAAACAAACAAACAAACAAACACAACTCCTGTGCCCTTATTATTAAAGGTATTAGTGAATAAAAAACCTATCTTCACGTTTGACCATAAAAGCAAAATACTTCACGGATGGCAGCTTACTTATGGTGCAACGTTGTGGTAGATGTTCAGACTTCTAATACCGTTGTCAAGAAAGTGTGGAGTACTACAGCACAGAATAGACCCATATACATCTGCCAGGGATTAGCAAGGGCGACATGACATACTTAAACGTCGTATTATAAGATAGGGCTATAATGTTTCTCGCCAACTTCTAAAATGCTATACCCGTGAAGAATATTGATCTTCAGTAACCCATGCTTGTCGTAAGAGGCGACTAACGGGATCGGGTGGTCAGACTCGCTGACTTGGTTGACACATGTCATCGGTTCCCAATTGCGTAGATCAATGATCATGCTGTTGATCACTGGATTGTCTGGTCAGGAATCCCGGTTACGTTTCAAGGTTTGTCACCCCCATACCCGATCTCGTTGGTATCATCAAACTGGTAAACGACTGAGACCTGCAGTGAAACCCAACGATCATATTGATCTCGAATCTAAGATCCTATGATCAGAGGATCATAGGATGCCAAAGGGATGCAACTCTGCACATCAATTAGCGGCGTCCTAGAAGACTGGGCCACCCGTGCCTTTAGTCATATACTGACGTACAAAAGAAAGTACACACCCGGTGCTTCGGAATTATTTTCCAAACAAATATTTTTAAAAGTGTTTTGATTGTGACTTTAAGTCTATTGTAGACGTACCGATGTCTTCCCCTCACCTGTGGCCATTTACATTTGAGCACGATCGATGGCTCCCCTCGATCACAATCCGAGGTTAAGAACATCGCTTAGGTACACAGCCGATTGATCTTAACACGGGTACACTTGTAGTCAGTTCGCAGCTAGAGGAGACAGGTTCCATGCCAATTCAAGCAAAGAAAGAACACGTCAGTGTGATTTAAACCATTCTCCATTTGATTTCCTATTGACATTTCACGATAATAAATAAGAATTAAAACAAAATATGAAAGTGTTTAAAAAAAATATCAAAGCAAAA